TAAGAGGTCTAGTGACTGGTAACGGCACTGGGCAATAACTTGGAACAGAAAAGACGAATAAAAAGAAAATTCTCTATATGAAGGCTATCTCTATACATAACTGCTATAAAACAATCACATCTTTCATTCTTAACTCAAAAACAATCCTATTCTCAAGAGGCAGCATTTTATTTTTTTAAAGTTTTTTTGTTTTCTGCTGATGATAACTAGTGCTAGATTATATATAATCTTCTGGCTAGTTACCAGTTCTTGTTCACAAATTTCAACACAAAAACCGTAACCAGCTTACCCCCATCTAATGATTTGCAACATACGAAACACCAATCACATTCTGTATCACTTTCATACACCAAAATAACATAACAACTTACTGGATTGGGAGAGCGCATGATCAGTGCCCTGCGCAGGTTCCGGTAATCACAATATATGACACTCCACCACAATAATATAATAGATATCTTGAACATATTCCAGTTATCCTATTATTTATATCACAGCACAACCAAATCACACAACAACAATATCACAAAATATCACATAACCAAATCTATCGAGTTATATGTGGCTTGCGTGGTGCCGACATCTGACTGAACATATAATTGCGTTCAGGAACCACATATAACAAAAGTTTCAATTTTTTTTCTTTTCTTTTTCTTTTCGACCAAATGTTATACAATGCTAGTGATCTTGTCCCAAATGTTTTTTTTATTTTTTATTTTTTACAACAAATAGTTCCTCAAGTTTTCCCTGCTCAAGGATTTTTCAGATGATATATTTGTTTAATGGGTGGTAGGTTAATATCTATAGTGATATAATTTATATCTTAGTATTAATTATGTAACAAGTTAAACTTTTACTTTATTAATAAAGATTATAAGTAATACCTCACTCTAACATTAAAAAAAAAATAAAACTAATTTAAATCAATTTATTAAAACAATAATAATAACAATAATAAAAATAATATCATTATATTTTACTATTTATATTAATAAAATTTATATTTACAAGTCACAAAAAACTATATATATTTTTTATAAAATTTATAGTTTATTTAATTTTTAATTTTTAATTTTTTTGTTTTAAAATCTTTTTAAAGTAAATATAGTTATTATTTAATTTATATTTAATATATTAATATTTTTTAAAATTTCTTTTCAATATAAGTAATTTATAGTATATTTAAGCTAAATAATATTTAATTTGTTGTATAATATATATGAAAAAATATTTTTTTTCAAATATATTTATTTTGTTATATGTATAAAAAATAAAGAAATAACATTTACTTATTTAAAAAAAATGAAAAGAAATTGTACAAATTTCTTAATTTATATTAATAAAAAAGCACTATAAATAAAATTTTATTAATTTATATATACAGTAAAATTAGATATAATATAACCTTAGAACAATTAATAAAAAAATTTGAAATTTTTATTATAGTGAAATTTTTTTAAATTTTATTATTATATCTATTATATCATGATTATTTTATTATAGCTGTTTTTAATTTTATTCCATTATATTAAGATTTTTATATGTTTTCACTATATTGAATATCTGCTATATCAAATTTCTGCTATATCAAATTTAATTGTATATATATTTATTAGCTTTTAAAATATATTCATTATGTTATTTGTTTAGAACAATAAATATTATGGTTTTTTTAATAAAATTTATGGAATTTTTATATTATGGTAAAAATCTTTTTTTTTTTTGATGGTAAGCATTATATATGTTGCTGAAATTCGTAGATCCTTGATGCAATTGACGCAATTATTTGAGTCACTATTAAAACATATAAATAATTGAGTCATGATGCAATTATTTTTGAGGATTTTGGGAATTGAGTCAACAGCAAAATAATTTACGCCACATGTATAGTAAGCATTTTTTTAGACATATTAAAGATTTTTTTATTATAAAATTATTATGATAAAATTTCATAAGAAAAAAATTTTTTTTTGTTTTTAAATGATAATTAAAAGTTATTTAATAAGCTTTAATAAAATATTTTTTAATTAAAACTTATTTTACTATATAATCAAAAATTTATTCCCAAAATTTATTATATATACAAAGAGGACGTAATTTGATTTTATGACGACTAGTTTAATTTCTTTTTTTTCTACCATAACTACATACTTGCTGTAAATACGAAAAGTCGATAATTAAAATTTCTCTTTTATTATTATAAGAAAAGCCTGCGTTATTTGGATATACAGAAAATAGTAGATAAATATTGTATTAAGATATGTTTTTTACAATAAAAAATGAACCAATAAATTAAATGATCGCGTTGTATTACCCTCGTCTTAGTTGATAGGGGACATTGAAAGACTAATTTAATCGTACTAAATAAATGTCCATTAAGAAAGCGGAGCAAATTAAACTTTATTTACAACAAAAATGTGCGCACAGTTCGTCGCATTATGCAAAATTTGATATACTTTAATATTACAACAAAAGCCCTAATTATACAATTATACAAAGTGACCTAATTCTAAAATTATACAATGCTCTTTTTTTACTACGAATCAAACCCATTATTTATTATTTTTTTTTTCATTATAAAATTTTATCTTTTTTTTTTTTTTGAATTTTTGAATTTTTAATTTATTTGTTTTTTTTTTTATTTTTTATTTTTTTAATATTATAATTACCATTTTGTTTTTTTATTTATTTTGCTGTTTTCTTTCTTTCTTGTTTAGTGCCCCTAAACGCCTATGAATATGTGTATATATCATCATAAACAAATTGTTGCTGTTAATAATACCAAATCAATAACCCATTTTCAATAATATATCCAAGAGGTCTTTGATCAGGCTGAAAACTTCTTAAACTAGAGGTCGAGTTTTGAGTTGCGTTAGCATAACCGGTCAAATTTGTAACACCAAAAGTATTATTATCTAGCACATTTGAGGTCACAGCCGCTTCACTATCATCAGATTCGAACATTGATAAATATGATCCATTAATGTGAGGGGAAGAACTTGTATTTTCTCCATCCAAATCAAAAGTCTCTAGTTGTTGATATTCTCTGGAACTATTATTAGTAGAGTTCTTTATATTCGTGGAAGAACAGATATTTTCTCCTGCCCATTCAAGGGGTGCTTGCATTTGAAGTTCTCTGAATCCATTATTATTGAAAGTAGAAAATGATGATCCAAGAGTTTGAGTAAGTTGTTCGGAAGTTTCGAAATCGGTCCAGCAGTTAAATCCTTCAGTTGACGGTGATCCGGACGAGCTCGAGATTAAAGACGGAGAGGCAAGGGTAACCTCAGAAGAAAGCGGGATAGTGGCGTTTTCTTCGACTGAATCATCAAATTCATCAATATTGCAAGTTAATGAGGAAGAATCGGTAGTATTGTGGGTATCGTCGAGAGTTGACGAAATTAAATTAGTATTGTCATTTAGCGTTGAATACGGAAAAAAGGTGATAATTGAGGATTCGAGATCATCTTTATTCATTGATGCAACTGAAGATTGTTGTTCGACTGCATTAGTAGAGACCAATGTCAAATTTTTATTTCTCAAGTTTCCTGGTTCATTTGTACTTGAAGTAGATCCGCGTTTTATGTCAAACTCTATCTTCTTTTCTTTGGCCAATTTTCTATAAGGTTCTTTTTCTTCTGAAGACGAATCATTCCACATGCGGCCTACCACCTTAGAAACTTCAGAGTTCGAGATCCCTTCATTTTTAGCCGCTATCTCACGATATTTTTCAATTCTAAAAAGAAGAAAGCTATTTGGTGGTTTAGACGGAGTTTTTTTTTTACTAATCTTTCCTTTATCTAGCAAAGTTTGTGATATGTTTAGAGTTAATTAATTGTAAAATTTCCGGAAAATTATGATGTACAGTTATTGTGACGATCAGTTATATAATACCAACTTTTTATAGGCTCATTTGTGAAATTAACCCAACTCCGTATGGGAGACTGTTTATGATTCCGTTTCATTTTATGGTGTATAGAAAAAGAATGAAAAAAGGAGAATGATGAATCTTGATATTTATATAATGTTAAAATCCGTTCGTAGAGTCCATTATACAGTCGTAAAATTCTGAAAATATTATCAAAAAGGGTTTTTGCAATTGTGAGATGTGTACGATAGAGACATCTGCATTTGGCGAATTTTGATTTAACTTGGGTGAAAACATGCAATGTCCATTAGTTTACTAAAGCTGGGCATTTAACTTGATCATATGAACAATACCATTACCCTTTAACAGGATTGCTGTATATCAGTAGATAAGAAATTGATTTATTTCCTTAATAAGTAAGGTTTGCTTTTCACGAGTGACGAAAATCCTAAGCTTTTCTGATCGTGTGACAATGTGACAGCCATTTCATTACTCTCAAGAATAATAAATTAGGAAAAACTAATTGAACCGATCAATCACGATATTTGCAAACAAAAAAAAGGCAAAATTTCCATATCAGTATTATAATATTGTGTTTTTTAATTTAAAAATAAATATTTGTGAGACTCTCGAAAGTTTTGAGGAATTATTTCTGTTAGATATATAGGTGGAGTTCTCGTGAACATTTTGATATTTAACTCAAAAATTTTTTCCGCAATTTTTTTTTAAAAAATGGGAGCAATAAAAGGAAAGATAAAGATAAAACTCTATATTTACACTTCTAATCCTGATTTTGTTGCCGCCCCCAAATCATCAAAACAACGCAAAAGAAGATTTATCCTTTACGATCCAGCGTCAAAATACCATAAAAAAAAACGTATAAAACAGGCGAACCGATAATCGTAATCTGTAATGAAGTTCTGCTAACTCTAGTGTTGGAAAGAAGAATAGAAACTCCAAATTGGGTTCTTTCATGATTAAGTTAACTAAAAGCGTTTGAGACTCAATGTTTATTTTTTTACTGCTAAAGTAATTGTTTGTTGGACAATAGTTTAATTTTATTATAGCCTCTTCTCGTGGACGAGATTTACGTATTTTATTTGGAACTATCAGTTGGATTTGTTATAGTTGTTTTTAACTTCTTTATAATTCTATTGAAAATTACAATATTTGTGTGCGATGATATCAATAGAACTTGATGTAGTAGTAAAATGGATCATTGGTGTAGAATTGATATCTATAAAATTATTTCAAGTGAATAAATTGCATAGTTATTATTAAGCTTAGTGACAAATTACATTATTTGTGATTTAACATAAATTGTGATGATTTATATAAGATCTAAATTGTAAAATCTTTTTGAATAAATAATTATAAATTTCATTCACTATATATTATATATTACTTTAATTTTAAATAATTTTAATGTGAGATCTTTTATTTTAAATAATAAATTTATTCATATATTAAAAATCGCAAATTCCTCAAATCACAACTATACCTTAATTAGATAATTATATTGTATATTCTATACTATGATTTTTTTTTTACTTTTTTATATTCAATACATATTAAATGACCAATGTTTATTTAAAATAATAAATATATTACTAAATTAATTAATTATTTATTAATATAATTATTTGAAGTTTATAAAATAATAAAAATTTTATAAACTTGAAATTATTATTTTATTAAAACAATCAATATTTGTATTTGTAGTTTTTTTTTTATATCAAATATTAATAAAATAATTACTATAATAAACCAATATATATATATATATTTATTTATTTACAAAGTAGTTTACACTTTTATTCAAATTACTTGCTTGTACATTAGTTTCCTTATCAATACTCGATGCATCTAAAATTCAACTAACTTAAAAATAAACTATTTGAATATATACTAAGAATTATATTTTATTATAAAATTTATTATCAACATAAGCAACAGTATTTCTTGACTGATTTATTAAACATTACTAATTCCAAAAAATATTTAACAAACATAAAATCTTTTTACACCTTTTGACTTTAAACTTATAAACCTATTAATAGAATTCTTTAATATCTAACAAATTACTTATCAGAGTACTGTGTCTCTTCTTTTTCAAAAAGAAGAGAAGAAAATTTCTTCTTTATCAATATTAAGATAAAAAGAGATAATTTCATTAATCAACTTTATTAGTTCTATTTTATTTAAAATATTTTCTTATCTAAAAGGCAGCCTAAGAAATTACAATTTGGAAACCAAATAGAACCTTCTATAATAAAGTTGGCAATCTAATTCTTTAGATAATAATTGGCTTCAAGCATAAACTGTTTATTTAAAAAGGCACAACTCTTCCAAAGTCAAGTCAAGTTTTCAAAAAATTCTTTGTTCTGGTAAATGTTATCAACCAAATACCTTTACTATAAATAAGAATAATAAGTATTATTGGCAAGTTATTATTTTTGCAAAAAAAGTTATATTAAAGTTCTTATCAAATAGTTTTCAATTTGTAGCTTTTTACAAATCATAAATTAAAATTAAAAAACTTATAAGAAAAAATATTATATTTATCTTGTTTATATTTTAAATATATAAAAAAAAAAAAATAAATAAATAAAAATAAAAGAGAAACTTATTAATCTTATTTATATCAAATTAGACATTTCTTCATTTTACTTTTTTTGTTTAAACAGATGATATTATTAATATTTTATAGTATAAATAGAGATATAATCTTATTTTATTAATTTTTTATATATTTATTATTGTCCAATTCAAAATTTCAACCAATGAAAACCCAGTAAATCTAATATAATAAAAAATTTAAGGTCAAACTGAAATAGACAAAATTTTTTAGAAAAACTAAAAAATTTTTGAAACAAACTAGAAAAGTAACAGTTCTTATATTATAAAGATTTATGGAGAACTAAGATATCTAATAATTTTTTAAATAATTTTTTTTTATAGAGATACTAATATTACAATAATAAAAGGATAAAGAAAAATCAAATAAACTATTTTCTTTTCTATAGAACTTTTTTTTTACCATTGAAGCTTAAATAAACAAAGTTAATAAAATTTCTTGTTTTTACTTCTTTAAAGAGATAAACAAAACAATAGAAAATTAAGAGTTTCTTGTCAAAGTTTGCAAGGTTTGTATTAAAAAAAGTATATTAATTATTATAAAAGTAAAAATATATTTTGATTGAATATTATTTTGGAATAATAGTTAGAAAATCAGTAAGAAAAGTTGATCAATATATTATATTTTATATAAAAATTTTAAAATATAATATTACAATATAAATATAAATATAAAAAAAAAACTCTTGTTTATTTACTATTAATTTTTTGAAAAAATTTTTTTTCTTTTTCTTTAATATATTAACTATATTATTACTTAAGAACATAAGAATTTTAAGCATTATTATTGTATTGTAATAAAATTTCTAATCAAAAAACAAACAAATTTAAAGTTTTGTTTGTCTTTTAGTGGTATAAAAACTAATTTGTAGCAGTTTTCTTTTTTAACTTTGTTTTTATTTATTTTTTTTTTTTGCAAATAAGCATAAAATGCAAAACTTTATTTACTAAGTGATAGTACTGTCATTACATTAAGCATCCTTAAAAGTTAATGCTAGCCTATTGCTTTTTTTTATCCCAATATATCGACTGCACCTCGTGGGTAGATCCACATGCTGAGAGGGAGGCATCAAGAAGGTGGAAATCCTGCCTCCAGTTTTAAATCACCTGATCTTATATTTCCAGTTTTGTAAAAGTCCGACCGTAATTTAGTATGCTGGTCTTCATTAGGTTCCTTTTTACATTCCTACCATCTGTTCACCAATTCATGGTACACATGGTCTTATTACTTATACTTCCTAGTAAATGCTCCAAGAGTCGTTCCTATAGTTGGCACATACTACCAAATCTGGAGACCTACAGGCCTAGTGGGACGTGACTCCTAAATCCTCCAGTGGACACTCCATAGGCTCTTGGTTGGCTTTAGCTGCCAAATCTAGGAGTACAAATATCAAGCAGAGCGCAACTCCTATAAGGTGCCAGGGTAGTAGTCTCCATGTGTTGATGCTATACGATAATCCTCTTCAAAGTTTCCTAAGTAGGTTAACATGCTTTTTGCTATGGAGTCTGCCATGCCAGTTGGAGTTGATGGCCACAGTTCCATCCATATCGATGGCCTGATGATTGATATGGCATGATTCTCTTCTGCTGATCTTTTGAAGGGGAGAAGCTGATTATGATTTTTGGATTTGTGGTAGAGAGTAATGTGTATTTACCAACTGAAACATCCGAGAATAGGTTTTCATTAGACAAGCCCATTATCTTAGGTAGGAAGAAACTATTTCCAGTCTAGTTAAGAATGGTAGAGTAGTGTGGTGTGATGAGGTTTAAAATAAGTGGTTCTAGGGAGAAAAAATCCCAGGAAGGGAGAAAAATCTGCCTAGAGAAAAAGGGTAAGGGGAGTTGGGAAGAGGATAGATGAATGGGTAAACAAAGGAAATTAATTGCACTCGGGCTTGTGATTGCCAAACGTACATAGAGCCTCGCAAGAAAAAGATTAGTTGTCCAGGCCTCTCTAGTTCTTGTCTCAGACTACTGACATGCACAGGCTTGGTCTGCTCATACTTCCCTAAGCAAGAGTGCTTCTTTTAGATGTTAAACTCCAACGGTTAGAAAAGCCTCATATGGTGTCAGCACAGCTCAGACTTGACCTGCTTGGGGTTTCATCTTGCATAAAAGAAGAGAAGGAGGAAAGGGAGAAAATTTCCAAAAAAGGAAGTTTTCTGATGAAGTAGGGGTGAGTGGGAAAGAGTTTTTTTTTTTTAACTTTGTTTATATATATATATTGTTAAAGTGAAAAATAAACTATATAAATAAGGAGAAAAATAAAAGTAAAATGAAGTAGAATATAAAAAGTA